TAAGTTTCTTAGTGTTTGTCTTTCTTAGCTCCAGGCCAAGCATATGTTAAATAAATCAACACAGTGGGTGATGTGGGACTTGGGAGGATTATGGCTTCTCGACTGATGCTTATTCTAATATCTTCAGTAACAGCAGCACTGAGCAGCATGTCTACCTATTAGGCCTTGTGTTTCAGAGGATGTAATAGTTTGGAGTTTCAAGTTTGTGAGCCACATTTAAGGCAGTAACTTTGTTTGGGGGTTTGGTTCCCCTGCTTATATATATATATATATATAAACTTGCAGTAGTGTGTTATCATTGTATCTGTCTTCCTTTATTTCTGCAAAACATCAATTTTCACAGACACCATCCCATCCTGTGGGGATATGGAGTTTGTTTAATAGGCTTTGAATAACTTTTTGAGAAGCTGATGAGATGTGAAGTAATTTCTTTAAACTTACTGAGGCGCTAATGAGCCTCACTCACCCTGATAACTCTGCTTGCACTTCATCTTCACGCATGCACAAATGCACTTACACCATCTAAACATATACCAGAAATAACAGTTTAAGTTTTGACTAGTTGTGTAAGACCTCCAACTTTTGAGGGATTTGTGTGTGTGTGTGTATGTGGGTGTGTTCCTTCAGAATGTGAGTTTGATGTCTATGTTGTTTCTTGGATGTTGCTCTGAGAATGATTATGTGTTTTGGAAATAAAAAACATTCATGTGTAAAAAATGTTTATATTAGAATTGAATTGCAATGCCTGCTTCCTTAAAAGTAGTCAAACACTCATCGTTGTAATATAGGAGTGTTTAATAAGCTAAAATATGCCTCATATGTTGGTAAATTTTTGCACTAATTGCAAAAATAATGACAATACATAGACCTTTATGCACACCATTTTTGAGGTCCTTCCAGTGAGTCCACATCACCATTTGGCATGTTGAGAAAAATGAAAAGTTGGAACGTTGTCTTGCCATACATGCCACACATCAATTTCTATTTGTGGGTAAATTGGGATATGGACCTTTGTTTTCCATGTTCAAGGGTTCAAGATGATTTGGATTTGCTGTAGTCAATTTTGTTTGTGTCCTCATCAAATTTCATGGCTGTGAGAGTTGTTTTTCTGATGATATTGGACACCAAAGGTGGCTTCCCAGGTGAGACATTGTGTTGTGGGTGGAAATGAAAAAAAAATTCCCAGAAAATATAAAATTCTCCCAGTTTCGCCAAAATATCTAGCAGACCTTGTTATGGTTTACAAGTTCACCAGCAAACTCTGTGCTGCAACATCTTTTCTGAATTCTGTCCGAACTGATGCAGACTGACCCTTATGGCTTTTTAGTACAATTTCATTGACTTTAAATGAGGCTGAAACCTTTACCTGTATTTTAAATTAGCAATGTTTTCAGTGTTACAGACTAAGTACCCAGCCAGAATGACCTGTTTTGTTTTTTTGATCAGAGCACCACATTCATATTTGTAGAGTTGTGTATATTTACATGCCAGCGGAGCACATGAGTACAGCGCCCTGTGTGAGTGTGTGTTACGGCTCTATCAGGCTGTTTGGAGGCAGGGCGAGCCCATCGATCGGCACGTGAGGGGGGCCGCCTGGAGCTCTCGCTCCAGCTGCCCACTGGGTGTGAAGGACACTGATGTGACAGCACTAATTACAGAGGCAGGAAGCCAGCACTACAAACATTCACAGCAGCAGCTCTCCCGGGCTCTCCCAGGCTAAACCCACCTTCCACCAGAGACTTTACATCTCTCATTCCTCAGGGGCTGATGGTATTTCCCATCATCCCAAAATGAGGTATTATGCACAAAGCAGCTCTGTGAAGAATACTTAAAAAATAAATAAATAAATAAAATTAAAAAAAAAACAAAAAACAATCACACACTGAGCTGCCGTGGAACTTCAAACAGAAGAAACGGCATCAGACAATTGATTTAGTTTCTAACAGTGGACACTTTCTTGACCATCAAGATTCAGCCTTCAGTCCACATCCACTGGTTAACTTTACAAGACTCTGTTTCACTTAATTGTAAGTGACAGAAGAATCCTCTTGCTGTGGATATTTGTTCTGTTCTGGGAGATGTTTGTGCACTCATTACAGTCTACTTCAATAACAGGCCAAGACTGACCATTTCATTTTGCTCTTCATTGTTCCTTTAAATCTTGCCGCAATTTTTTGTAAGAGCAACTGAGCAGCTTCATAGATTTCTTAACAGCTTTGTCATTGTAGTTAACAATTAATTCATCCTATTTTTTTCATCTAAAGCTGCCTTCATAGATTTATTTTGTTCAATTGTGGTGCAACAAGTTGTGTTCAAAACTCTGATACATTATCATCTTTACTAAGTACGTTGTTTGCTAGCAAACATATATTTCTGTACACACTGGACAGACATGTAGCAATGTGTTTTTGGCCACCTGACACGTCTTTTAGCTCTGTGTTAGTCTTCACTGTCTCCTGGTATTGCTTGCATTTACAAGCTTGGGTCTTCTATTTTTGCTGAGCAGCCCGCACAAAGTGAGTTTATTAAAGTTTGGTGGTAACAGCAGTTCCCTGTGTTACCTTTAAATGGTTTGATCCAATGAAACTGAGCCAGATCAGTATGAAGTTTTGAGTTGTAGAAACAAAACAATGTGCTGAAAAGGGTTCAAAAACTACATCAAGCTGTAGGAAGTCATAAAGTTAATGAATTCAGATTATATCATTATTGTTGTTATTGCACAGGCACAATCATTTCCTCCTTTGTTAAGATAAAAATACTGATAAGTGCAGCTTTAGCCCTCACCCTGACTAGTTGAGGCAGACATCTGTCCTCCCTGAGCCTGGTTCTGCTTCAGGTCTCTTCTCTCTCTAAACTGGAGGTGTTTCTCTCCACTCTCGCCAGTATGCTTGGTCATCTGAAATCTTTGGACTTAATTGATGTTTCATTTGGTATAACTGCAATTTTGAAATTAGTCATGTAATCTCTTAGAGCACCAATATTGTAGGCTGTTAATGTAGAGTCTTTTAGGTTATAGGTTGTTCACGTTGAGTCTATTAGCAAGATAAATGAACATAAGAAAAAAAAAACACAGCAGTTTCGTAACCTTAACATTTAAATGGCAACTTTAACACTAGTCTTATTTTGCTACTGTAAAGCACTTTTGCTCAACTGCTGTTGTTTGAAATGTCATATATGAATAATGGTGACTTGATTTGGGCAAAGTTTGTGCATATACAGTGCTTTATTAGAACACCGTCCAGTGTAGGGTAACGCTACAGCTGCCCTAAATTATTAATTACCAAAATCATTTCTCTCATTTCTGTAATGATTAATACACCAGTATGTAGAAGCTCTTTACCCAAAGTGATATATTTAATGCTAAAATATAATTGTTATTGTTATTAATTAATTAATTTTCAGATTTACTGTCATACAAAAAAGAAGAAAAAATAGTAAAGCACATTATTATTTCTTGATTAAGATGTCAAATTATAATAATTTACTTGCACTCCTGAACAGAAAAAATAGCTTCGTGCTTGCTATTGTGTCCTTTTTTTTTAAGTATATATATATATATATATATATATATCCATCACAGACTTACTGGGATACTTAATGGAACAGAGACTTCATTAATATTATTTTCCTGCCATGACCAGGATTTGGGAAAAAAAGTTAATTGTAGGGCTTTTAAACCACCAACACCACACCATCAATATCAATAAAGTGATCAATATTTTTCTATGAATATTCTAGTAAATGACATCTGAATGAATGGGGTTTGGTTTTACAGCTGCATGTTTGGTTCAATCTCATTGCTCTCAGCCATCCTATATCTGGCAGCAGCTATTACAGAGACAAAGGTATGAGGTACCTGGAGAAGAAAGTCGAAAATATTAATTAAATACTCAAATTTCAAACTGCGTGACGCCTGCAACGATATCACTGTAAATAGCATGGTTAATGTATATACATGCTCTCTAACCACAAACCAGCAGAAACAGGGTGGCCCTAAACTTTGCTGGTGGCGTTCAGTGTGTGTGGATCGGTGCCACGTGAGATAAGTTACCCTCGCTGGTTTAATTATGCACATTTCTATTGACTTGACCACGCTTTTAATTATTTTCTTATTGATCTGCACTGTGACCCAACATGCAGGTCAGTGAGCAAGAGCTGCTGCTGCTGGAGGTTTACATCCTAGATATAGAGCAATGTCACACACACACACACACACTCATTTACACTACTAAATGACATTTGCACCACACAGGTGACAGGTGACAAGTAAAAAACAGTCAGCAAAAAAAACAGTTAGTAAAAACAGACACTCCAGGGGTAAACACACACATATGCAGTGCTTCACAAATGTATGAGACCAACTGTCCACTTTGTTAAGCATATATACACACACACACACACACACACATATATACCATCCAGCATCATGAAGGGCTTTAAAGCGCACTCAGCTCTCTGTGTTTTACCTTTTTGAACAAGAACGAGGAATTTCAAACTGAATTTACCTTCTTATACCCCAATTTGATCAACTGGGATTCTCTGAGAAGTCAGAAATGAATCAAGCATCACATTCAACCACTAAAACTACTTTCAGGAATGCAAGTAAATAACTACAATTTGACATCCTAATCAAGACATGATGTGCTTGACTATTTTTTTCCTTTTTTTTGTAAAACAGTACATTTGAAAATTCATGGATAACAATAATAATTACATTTTAGCATTAAAATAAAGAGCTTCTTCATACTGGTGTATTAACCATTACAGAAATAAAAGAAATGATTTTGGTAATTACCAATGCCGGTAATTTAGTGCAGCTATGGCATAAAATCTATATTGGGTGGAGGTCTAATAAATGTGTTAAGCACTGTACAAATATATATACACACACATGTTGTACAGTATGCACACATAGAAATAGCCACAGCATGTCCATACCACACCACACACAGTCTACCTGCAGTGACTCATCACTTTGCCGTCTCTTCTTCTTTACCAGAATGGACCATGGAGACCGAGGGATGGGCGTCTCTCACCTTCGCTATGAGGAAGAGGAAGGTGAGTGTGTGTGCACATTTTGTGTGTGTGTGTGTGTGTGTGGGTGTGGGTGTCATTCATATCGATGATCTATTACTGATTGGCCCTCTACTAATAGAAATGGGAAATTAAGTCATTACACCCATTTTGTCTTTATTATGACCATGACACTGCTGATTGATTGCAATGACTTCTAACTTCTAAATTGTTTCATTGTTTCTCATTTATGTGAAAAGTTTATATGGGTGACTGTTGTTAATTGGCTGCAAATGAGTAGGGATGAAAGTTTCTGAGTGTATTTTGGGGTGTTGGGGAGTTGTAAATGCATGTTTGCGTGCTGTCACATTGAGCATGAGGTTGTTTTCTGTATCCAAACATCCAATATTGCTTTGTATCTCCCTGCTGTCTAGTTATTCCACCTGGACCTGTGTGTGCAAATAGTTTTACAGCAACATCTTAATTGCCAGAGATGATCAAACGCACATCGTCCACATTTTCTGTTTCAAAATAATGACTGTATGAGTCAAGCTATGGGACTGAATGACTCTGAATAAACTTGATTTGGTTTAATTTGTAATTGTGCCAACAGAGAATGCTGCTGTTGGTAATAAGCAGACCTGAGCTGTGAAGCACTATTTAGTGGTTTAACAGTCATGAAAACACTTCTCTGAGTGGAGAGGATTAATGGGAGATCTCATTAGATAATCTGCCTGTTACTGGTTGTCAGTCAGCTATTTTGGGTTTATGAAACATCAATTTAATTCAATTGTTTTTGGAAAAGAAAAAAAAAAAGTGGTGTTAAAGAGGTTAATTTTCTGGGTGATCTTTGACAAAAAGCAATTGGCATTTCAATTTTGCATTTAAATGAGTACAAACATCCGTGCATGTTCATGTAGCCATGAAGGAATTGTACATATTTGTCCACAGACCATCAGTCCATCTACATCGGCGTCCCGGTACCTCGAGGATATCGACGCAAACGCAGGCGAAGGCGCTCCAGTCGAGAGGCTGCTGACATGGACAGGGACAGACGCTACAGCCACCACAGACACCATGAGCATGACCGCTACAGAGACATAGACATAGAGGAAGGACTCATGGATTCAGCTGAGCAGAGTCTCCAAGACATCAACCGCACAAGTGAGTCAGTGACGAGATCTGAAAACCTCCTCAAGCCCGTTGCTTTGATTCGGATGCACTGTCTGTGGGTCGCCAAACTCTGTCAGGCTGCTTCTGTCCACTGATCTCTCCACTAATTTTACATTTTAAAGGCGCTTTACTCATCCTGGTCAATACATAAACAGATAGTTGTCTAATATTTTCTGTATTTCTGGAGAAGTTTGATGGATAAATGTTAACATAAAACCTGAGGCATGTGGAGTCTGAAGGTGTAAAAGAGCCACTACTGAGTTGCATTATGGGAAATGTAATTTGTAGTCTGTCTCCTCCAAGTCCTACAACTTTGGTCAAACACCAGTATACTCTTACTTGTCTCAGCTGTGCATTTTATCCTGTGCAATTTTGTGTACTCGTTCTGAAATAGCTTCACTAAAGTCTGCGTGTCTACAACACGTTTGCTGCACATAGCTGCCAGGGTGGCTTTTCCTTCAAATATTATCTTTTTTGTTGTGCTTTTGATTGGATTTTACTTCCTTCCAGCAATTTTAACAGTGAACAGCAGGAGTGCGAAACACAGCCTGAGAGTGTGGAGCTTGTGTTTCAGGTTGGGGTAATGAGCAGCCTGGCAGAACGCTGCTGCTTTGGTTTTCAAAGGCTTCAGCCGGGAAGGTTGACCACTTTGCTAAATTAGTATGGCGCAATCAGTGGCAAGGCAGCAGCGGTGTTTGCTCTGCTTGGACCGTATTCACATATTGATACAGCCTGTTTAAGTGTATGGCCTGCTGTATATAGTGCCATATGGTGCCAGTATGAGGATACAGCAGGAACAAAGATGTAGAGGACAACAACAACGAGAGAAAATGATGCCCAGTGACAGTTAATAACTTTGATAGTAAGAATGAAGTCAGTTGAGGTTGTGTGGTATGTTTAGTAGCTAATGAGTCCTCATTGTGCTAGATGGTGTTGGTAAAAAAGCAATTCAACCCACACATCAAATGTTAGATATCAGTGAGAAAAAATTGTTTTCGCTTGAGGTCATATTTGCATCCATTCAGGAAAAAACAAGCGCAACACATGTGAGTGAAATTTACTGTTAGCTGCTGTCAGTAAAGCACTTCAATATTATCGATCACTGGTGGCTTAAAAGAAGCACCCCATATACATTAATTACAGTCCATAGGTTAACAGCACTACGGCCAGTTGGCAGCTCATTACGCTGCAATGTCATTCATGAACATGTGGTCCAATTCAATCTACATACTATTAGTACAACAATGGAATGGATTGTAAGTACAGTAGGGTAATGATTGAATAACAATAATTAAGTACTTACAGTGCGATCTGGATATAGGTTTCAATCATTATTGCTGGTGCAGCACAGGAAATACACTGAATGATGCCGTATACAGCAGCCTACAGCTGGTTCAACACCTAAATGTGGTGTCACTGAGGAAATTAACAGAGAATAATCCGATAACACTTTAGAACACAGCTCATAAACTACAGTCATTTCTTTGTGTGAATCAGGTACTAATAAAATACATAAATATCAATGCAGCTGAAGATCGTATAGAACAAGTCATAGCTATTGGGACAAATTTAAAGTCAAAGGATTTTTAAAGACACCAGGTGCTGTACTAGAAAAATATAACTGAAATTCTGTACAAACCCCTGCAACACCCATGATCTTTTGTATAATTCAACCATAAAAGTTGAGAAACAGTCAATCTCAGCCCACATCCCTTTCTGTAATGTTTTTTCTCCTGTCCTCCAAAATGGCCAGTTATTCTTTCCTTGTACAGCTCAGTTGTATTTTCTTACACTGTACACTGAACACAAGAAGAAGCTAACAAGTGTTTCATTTCATTGGTACCTGATTCCTACAAGTAACTTAGACTGAAAATTGCAGGCTGTAGAATAAGTGTTACCCAAACATTTTATTTCCATTTTAGAGATCACTTTACACATTCATAAATTCTGCTTTATGTTTGCGTGCAAGGTCATTCTTTGGTATAGTGAAAGGAACAAGTTGATTGTGTGGCTGATAAACACCATCCAATTACAAATCTATTATGTTTTAAGCAAGTCTTAAAATCGTCAGGCACTTTGAAGCATGTTAAAACTGAAACGGATATTACAAAATGTTAAAATGTCAAAAACATTCTATCATTCCACCAAGTGTCTCCGGCGGCAGAGCGGCTACGTTACATCCTGAGCGAGGATGATGACATGCCCACGCCGACGCTCTTCACTGAGATGGACACTTTACAGCGAGAAGGAGACGAGCTGGAGTGGAAGGAGTCCGCCAGGTACACTCTAACACACTTAAACACACACACAACTCAGGCACAGTCATGCTTCCGCCACTCACAAATCCAATTGCTCCGGAACTATTTTGCTTTACTGTAGTTTCAAGAATGAAATCTTAAAAGGATCCACTTGAGACATGATTATGCCTGCTCATACAATCACACAGTCCAGGAGACTGCTGGTCAGATTATAATGTGGCTCATCATGGCCTTGCAGGATTTTTCAGAGTTGGCGTTTTGGAATTTCATTTCCTCAAGCATAATAGATGTTTTGGTGTATGAAATGGTCAGAAATAACACAAAAAAAATGCATAGATTTCTGTCAGATAAGAGTAACTGACTCATTGCCTTTACCATACGTGGTTCGATTGTGCTTCCTGTTATGTGTAGTCAACCTCTGAAAGGCCCATTCAGTACCAGAAAAACCCTACATTACCAGTAAGGATGATTCATACACCTTTTCATGGCCAACAGCTGTGTAATATTTCCCAGTATTTTGTTGGCTAAGTGGGAAAAATTAGTCTACTGAGGCGACTAAATGCATTGGAGCCATCAATATTCGTTGGAGTTCAAATGGCTGCTTTGAAAAAGGTCAATTCCATAAAATGAAGCACAATTTCCTAGCTGCACAGCTAATACCTCATCCCAAATGTATTCAGAAGCTGGTTTTGTTAGACAGCTTGGATTAAACTACATGCATTCAGAGGAAATGGCATCGCAAAACTGGAGGTTAAGACCAAGGACAGCAAAAAAAAAAAACCTTTGTTCATGCAATCAGGTGTAAGACAAGCTGTCAGTCTGAAATCTGCCTCAAGACAATTCACCCTCAGATCATGAAATAATTTGTGAAATTGTCCTGTCAAACTCAAAATTGCTAGAGAAGATCAAACTGAGTTCAAAACGGAAGCCTTGCGGAAAAAACAACAGAAACACCGTGGTAGATGTCAATGGTTTCACTGACATCTACTGAGCAGTGTGCACCTCCGACAGAGTTGAAAAAGTCAAACAAATGTCATCTGTTGTGTATTCCTCACCTGGTCTTCCTCTGTGTGTTTTTCTGCCTTCAGGTGGGTGAAGTTCGAGGAGAAGGTGGAGGAGGGAGGAGAGCGGTGGAGTAAACCCCACGTGTCCACGCTGTCCCTGCACAGCCTATTCGAGCTCAGAACGTGTCTCCAGACGGGGACGGTGCTGCTGGATCTGGAAGGCTACTCACTGCCACAGATAGTTGGTGAGATGTTCATGACTTTGGTGGTAACTGCACTTCTTGTAGTGCGAATCAACCAATCAGAACAGGTGTCATTGGTGATGTGTGTTATATGTAGCCACTGATACAGTGTTAGCCTGTAGTGCAGATTTTGACTATATGGAATTCAAGACGTCAAAATGATAGTTTCAAATAAATGTAATTTAGTTTGGACCAGCTGCAAGGTGGTGCAGTTGGTAGCACTGTTGCCTCACAGCAAGAAGGTTGCCGGTTCGTGGGGGTACCGGGATCTTTCTACGTGGAGTCTCCATGTTCTCCCCGTGCAGCGTGGGTTCTCTCCGGGTTCTCCGGCTTCCTCCCACACAGTCCAAAAACATGTTATGCTTAATTGGTGATTCTAAATTGTCCGTAGGTGTGAATGTGAGTGTGCTTGGTTGTCTGTCTCTAAGTGTAGCCCTGTGATGGACTGGTGACCTGTCCAGGGTGTCCCCTGCTTTCACCCTGAATCAGTTGGGATAGACTCCAGCCCCCCGCGACCCTAGTGAGGATTCAGTGGTGTATAGATGATGGATGGATGGACAATAATGACAAACATCATTATGAGTAATCCACACTGTTGTGTGTGAAACATTGTTTCTACAAAGCTTCTCAACGGATATTGGTCTAGGAAAAGTATTTGAAGCATATCAGTAAAAGTACTGATGGCAGATGTTGTGGATAACAAATACATACAAAATAGAAATGTTGTGAACCAGAAAAAGTATATTGACCAAGAGTTTGTGGAGAGCAAGCATTTAGTTTATTAGAGCCTTGTGGTTGAAGTTTACTGGAAGGCTGACATGGCAGAAGAACATCTTGTCATATGTGGTTAAAGTTACAGTGCTGTGGTACATTTGAAAAGCGAGCCACCTCAGTCTCTGCCTCCTACACACTGTGGCTTCTAGTGTGATTACAGATATCTGCAGCATCATTTTGCACAGTCCAAACTCTAACTCAAAATACTGTAATTACATTTTGACAAGATAGAACTCCAGTTTGAGAGATCTACAGTGTTCTTACCAGTTTAAACTTAGCTGAAGAAGTCTAAAATGACAATGTAGATATTTTGAATTTACTGTAAAAATAGATATTTTGAGCTAGAATCATGATATGATAGTGTAAGTATGGGAAACTAAGTTACAAATAGTCTTATTTAGCTGCAAATATCCACAACTTACATTCTAGTTACCTGTAATGACAAACCCCTATACACAGGAACGACAAAAGTGACCTGGAAGAGTGACGATGTGAATATCTGAACTGTTGACTTGGGAGAATTGAATCACGGTTATCTGCAATACATATGAAGTCTAGATATAAAATGCTAAAATGGCTGCCACAGGTTAATGGCAAGTCACACACGGAGCCTCTGTTTTCTAGGTTGTCCTAAAGTTAAATTATTACTACAACACTTAAATTATAGTATATTACTATTTTTTTAATGGTCAGTGTGAAGCTGCCAGGCTAGAAGTGATGCCAACTAAAGTCCCCCCCATTTTTATTCACCATGACAAACCTCCTAAAATGAATCGTTAGCTTGACTGCAGCGCACCAGTTGACAGGTAAATTATTTAATTAGCTACAGCTGTGCTTTTCCTGCTTTTGTGTGAGCTGGTTTCTGCCTGCAAACCTGGAAAAAAATGCAAACTTTGCTAAAAATGTAAGTACTGACAAAGCTTCTTATGTTAAACAATTTGAAGAGTTTATTATTTCTTGTGAAATTTAAGTGGCTAGCAAAACATAACTAGCTAGCTAGTTAGCTCCACAGCTAAGATGTTTTTAGTAAGTGCCACAGTAGATGAACCAGCATTTTTAAACTACTGTATCGTTTTACTACTTTTAAAATGCATCTATACATAACAAGCTTGTTCGACCTCCCCGTTGCTATATATTGACATTTACCACTTTCCCCATACTATTCACCAAATGCCAAAGCTGAAGCGCCATATGCATTAGCATGGAGGAGTCAATAAATGAGTTTGACTGAAATCAATAGTAAAAAAAAAAATCAATCAATGACTACAGTTACAGTGTTTCCCAGGTTGCAGAAAAATAAGCAATTGCTGATAACAGAAAAAAGCAATTGCTGTTATACTGCAGTTTTTTTTTTGTTTGTTTTTGTTTTTGTTTTGCATTTGTTATTTTTATTGTTTATTTAATAGGGAAACAGTGCAATACATGTATTGTAAAATATGTAACTTAAACCTCGGTTTCATTTGTAGTCACTGGACAGAAGCCTCTAATGATGCAAAGGTTATGGAAACAAAATATTGTTAGTTGTGGTAAATCAAAATCTAACACTTTGAAAAAAAAGCAGATAATAACACACCATATGACAACTAAGAAGCACAACAAAACAAAAGCAACAACCCAAAATGAACAACACACACACAAAAATTCTGGTTCCCAACGACAGAGAACGTTACCAACACCATTAAACACAATACAACAAATTTCCAACCAGACAGTCAGTGCCATTGGTAACCACATTCAGAGTATCTTAGATCCATGTCCACAAGCCTGAGTATCATAAACCCATGTATTCAAACTAAATTTGAAATGTTTAGAGTGACTGGTTTCAGCATCTTCAGTGGTGAAGAACTGAAAAGCAGTTTTGCCAAATTCTTTTAGACCAAAAACAAAAAAAATCCCTTCTGGAGGACATCTAGTGCTATTATTTATTTGTTTTTACCTTGTTAACATGTCCTCATGGTGCTTTTATTTGCTCAAAGACATATCACGAGTAAAATAAACAGTCAGTACTATGCTTAGCGTTTCCACCTTGAAGCTGCAGTCTACTGAGGACAGTCTCAAAAGCAAGGATTCTGACCTTTGGGATTTCATATGTAACAAATCGAAGGAACCAATCCTGACAGCTTGTAGGGTGGAGCTCTCTGTATCATTAGTCTTAATTTCTTAATTATTTAATTACTTCACCATCACAACGTGCCATCGTGTAAGGTGAGGAGTGAAGCTTGATTGCGAATGGTGTTATGCAGCAAACCAACATTAGTCACAAACAGAACATTTCCTAAAGACGAGAAATGCTACTTTTTAATGATATTGTAATAATGATTAGAGTTAGGGTTTTTTTTATCCAATATTTTCAGTGTTTTCCTATATACTACAATACATGGTTGTTACATTGCACTATGGCATGCACTATTTGTCTAAGACCAGCTTATAATAAAGTTTTTAAAAAATACATGTATGCATGTTTTAATCTTGTTGGTAATATAGCTCAGTTTTGCTCTGATTGATCAAGTGATTATTGGAATAATTGTAGACCAGCATCATTTGTGCTTTGTAGGTGCAGCTCCAGCGCTTGTTTTCTTGACTTGGTAAATATCCTCAGGTGTTAAAAAATGTTTGAGTTGCTGTGTTGTTTCTAAGCAAGTGACTGCCTACTTCTTGGTTATCCTCTCTTCTGTGGCGACTTCTGCAGCCAATCAAGATGATGATGATGCACAGTCACTGCTTTCATACATACAAGTGGTGCAAACATGATCTTAAGTAGCATTAGCCGCTCAGGTAGGAAATCAACTGCTTCAGTGGTACTTAAACTCACAAGTTATGTCGTTTTTTATTGTTATCTGACAGTATCACCAGAATCACAGCCATGTGCTTCTACACAGAACTTTATATCTTTACATACATTACCAGGATTGTAATGGATAAAGTACCAACAAACTAGAATACTGCAATAGAGCAATGCGTCTGACAAGAAACATCAGATTCACGTGGCAAATGTATCTTTTTTCCAGATGACATCATTGAGAGACAGATAGAGGAAGGCATGATATCTCCTGACCTGCGAGAGAAGATCAGCTTTGTCCTGTTAAGAAGGCACCGACACCAGACCAAGAAGCCAATCCACCGCTCGTTCGCCGACATTGGCAAGTCCAGCTCCTCAACCAGTGAGTGTCCCTACCTGTGCTGCAAATCATTATCAAGACCTGTTTGAATAACACAAGACAGGACCTCTAGGATGATAAATAACAGACCTACAGCTTTGACAAAATAATAATTATTATGTCAGTTATGAGACACTGCTGTGTTTCTTTCCTTTGCTCCACATTATTTCCATGATTAATAATACTACACACATTGTTGGACAGCGTACATTATGACATGCCATCACATGAAATAGCATGGTGCGTCCCTCAGATATAGCAATTTCTTTTCTTTGCCCATGATTGGTCTGCTCTATTCCAACATATAATTTGATGTCAGAGAAATTTACTATGCATATATTTAACTCTTGGTAAATGAATGAACGCTCTCCTGCAGTCAACGAGGCTCATATCCTCCACAGGGGATGTATTAATGTTTGATGAGTTAATTACCACTGTAACATTTCCACATCTCATCAGGGCAGGGCACATACTGCTCAATAAATCATAAAGCATCACCTCTAACCACTCTACTGCTGTTTGTGTCTGTTTCTGCTTCAATTTCCTTGCCAGATCGGAATGCAGGGTCCCGAGGTGGGCCGGGGTCGGGACCAGGGCCGGGTCCGGGGCCAGGTATGGGGCCAGCGGCCAACTTTAACCGATCTACAGAGGACCTCCGAATGAAACAGCAGCCGACAAACTATGGCCGTCTGCGTGAGTGATAGGTTTAGATTCACAGAAAAACCATTGTTGGCTTTGTTATTTTGAAGGCAGGTAATGATTTTGGGGTCACATATTCTATATAAAAATCATGAAGATAGATTGACGAGCTGCCAGAAACCAGCTGCTCTCTTGTCAGAGTTAGATGGCATTTACGTCTATACTTCTTTACTCAAAAGCCAATATCAGGCAGACTGATTTGTTAAAGCCATCTGTCATTAGAATGCAGAGCTATTTTTCCGCTCACAGCTTGTCAGAAATATGGCTGCTGAAGTCCTCAGAATTTAAATAGTGTTGACACCTTGTTGGGTGAAATAACACATTAGAAAGAAAAATTCATTAAAAAGCACTCAGGCGAGATTTCAATCTCAACAAATTAGCATGTCAAAACCGTTATCTTTTTCTGTCAATCCTCCCACCCTCAGCTAGCATCTTTAAAAGCAAGCATGTGATTTGGGCAGCAACTTGCATTAGAAGATAAAGTTCACTATTTTTGACCTTTTTCATAGAAGTTTTATTCTGGAAGCATCACTCCCTAACTGCTACATTGACTCATATATTACACCTTTGTATGGTTACCTTTTGTGTCTTTAGCATGCTCACTGTGTCATTGTTCGTGTATCTTTTCAAACCATACCTTTATTTGAAATGACAAATATGAGAATATTTAACTGTTACATTACACTTTGACCACTTTATTTACTACATAATTCAATACAACAGCTTCGCCACAACATCTAAAACATGAGGTCAGGTTGTTGTTCACAATGATAGAAATCTGTCCATTGGAGGGTTTATTATTGAGGTTGTGCTGTGATGGACACATACATTGGGCAGGCAGAATATTAGCAACTCCTCTACATATAGTACAGCTCAATAGAACAGCACCTCAATGTTGAAATCTGGTTTAAATGAACACCTTAGTTTCAAAAAGCCTGAACAGTTTAAACATTAAAGCACATGTAGGTTTTATAGCAGGTGTATAACCTTAGATTGTGCAGATGTGCCTAATAAAGTGACCACTCAATGTAGATAACCATATCAAGCTTAAATGATGTAAAGTATGTAGATGTAAGATATTATAACTGCTTTACCTTGCAGGTCATGCTCAGAGCAGGAGTATGAACGATATTGCAGACACTCCCAGCACAGACCAGGTGAGTTATTTCTGTGATTTTACAGTGTCGCAGCTCATTCTTTACATCAAGTATTTTACATCTTTTCATACTTGAACATTAGATCCTGATATTTTTTGCCAAAGTGTATATTTGTTTTGCTTATAGGTTTATCCCTTTAAGCACTTTTGATGATCTGATTCATTTTTATATATTTTACAAACAGCACATTGTCTATTTGCAGGCACAAAGCCACCTCTGGAGTGTATAGTCATGTTCCACTTTATTGCTTTCCATTATTGGAGAGATTACCCATCTCATGTCTCAGTAAGGTGTTGTGCTGTGTTGAATTGATGTTTCTCTGGTTTGGTGAGAGCCGCTGTCATAAGTGCCATCAATCTTTCATTGCGGTTGCTAGCGAAGGTGACAGCAAGCGATAGAGGAAGTGTGCAAACACATAACTCAGTCATTAGTGGAGCCACTGCCACAATGCGGTTTAAACCCAGTGATACATGCTTGGCCTGCTGCAAGGGCGTGTTGTTATTGCTTGAATTAGGCTACGGGGATTTCAAACAGACAGGTCAGGATTAAGTGTCATTCCCTGAGCGGACAGATGTGGAAAAATAAATAAATGAGCATTTATTTGAGAGTGTGTGATGTGGACTATGAACTTTATTTGTTTGTAACTGTGAGGACTAGCACGAGCTGACCAGTTTCTCGCGCTCCAGTTATGAGTGGATAGCTACATGTTCAGATTGTATTTACAGACCTTCAGTAGGTCACATGTGACCATGGACAAGTGATAGTTTGTTACTGTGTGTATTTGTGCTTGTGTCTGTGTCAGTATTGAGCTGGCACTGGGAAAAAACAGATCTCATTGTCCCGTCCGCGTGCTTTGTGCTCACATGTAGCCACAGATTCGGGCTATGGGTTATTGACAAGGCTCTCCATTGAGTGTTATTGTGCTTCTGTCCAATTTCCTGCCACACCTTAACATGCAATTAGACAGGTCAGGTTGCCTGCCTCGGCATGATCCATCTTTCAGTCACAGTTGTGTCAGGGTACATCTGTTTTGCCCATCTGATTGGTGTTTTTTAGGTTTCATGCTTGTAAAACAGCAGGCTTGTTGTCTTGTAAACATTTGCCCTCCCAGACTGATCTACCAGGTTAAGACAGAGTGTTAGCAACAAATGATAAGGAGTTGAAACTGTAGTGATTCTTACAGGGAGCTCCGGTCACTGCAGTAGCACATACTGACAGAAAAAACACATGTAGAGCTGTCAGTAACAGTCGGTTCTTTCTTAAAATACCAGAAAATGTGAAAAATAACTCCCAAGACCATAAAGTGAACTATTTAAAGAACAGACTTATTTCTATTACTGCAGTATTTTCACTTTATTAGCACATATGACCCAAAAAAGCAACCAATCCTCATATTTGCCTAAAAATGACAGATTTAGTTTGGATTAAGTGTTCTGTTTTAGCTCTAAAAACATTTAATTATATACACGATTCTAAAGTGTAAATATAAGAGATGAAAGAATGTAACAAAATACAAAAACAAAAAGGGATGTCTCACTGTGTCTTCACTTTCTCCCTCCATTTCCTGTAGCTAAAAAACAAATTCATGAAGAAGATCCCCAGAGATGCAGAGGCATCCAACGTCTTAGTCGGCGAAGTAGATTTCCTTAACAAACCTTTTGTAGCCTTTGTCCGCCTGGCCCAAGCTACAACACTAGGAGGTCTGACAGAGGTCCCTGTTCCCACCAGGTGAGATGATCTGAAATTTCTCAAACCTCTTCACTGTTGCTCCGCAACAGACACCTGCCATCCCAACACATAGTTCTAACATGTTTCTCCACTGTACAGATTCCTGTTTATTCTCTTGGGACCCCAAGGAAAGGCCAAGTCATACAATGAGATCGGCCGAGCCATAGCAACCCTAATGGTGGATGATGTAAGTGTCATTGTGTATTAAAGTGTTTCCATGACATTCCCTCTTTATATATACGGTACATCTGTGTGGAAACTGAAATGTAAATGGTGTGCAGTATGTGCTTTAGCCTTTCAGTCCAGTGGGATATGCGGTGCAGTGTTTTAATTACATCTGGACGGGATCCTCGTTGTTAAACATGAGTTAGGAGCAGGGCTTCTATTGGGATAATTAGTGGCCCATGAGAGTATTTTTCTCTTTCCTGAATGCAGTTCCTATATCATTAGGCACAGAATTGAATGTGTTACTTTATTAGCAGACACAAGCAGTAAAGAAATAATAGGATGTTATTGTAAATGGAACTTGTTTAAGTTCAGGCACAAACATAACACATTTACCAGCCACCGTCAGACACTGACTGGAAGGTTGTGGTTGGTAAATTAACCTTTATTATAATCTGACTGATCAAGAGTTACAGTAAATCTTCCACACCACTAGCTCCAGGTACTGTTGGTCAGATTCAAGAGCAGCAGCAGTAGAATCTTTGTTGTTTTGTTTAGTCTTTTTTCAGAATTTTATGCCAATGTTTGCTAATCCACTAATTGACAAAATGCTCACTGTGTTTATTGTTCTGCTTACTATGCCTGCATATAGCATAAAGATACTGACTGGGTTTAATTGTAAAACCTTTGTGTTAGTAAGTAATTCAATTTCAGTTTGAGTTATTTCTATATTTTATTTATCCACATAAAATGGACTCAGGAAGCCAGTGAAATCCATCATGCAGCTCGATTTAAGTCAATCTAGAAACTGGGCAGCTCAGTTGAAAAAGCTCCAATACATTCAATGTTCTACAGACCGCCGGTTGTTTGTAGTGTGTTGGGAGGGAGAAAATCAATAAAGGTGCCACATACCACTCATGAGAAAATATGTGTGTCATCCCCAGGCTTCAGATGCCTGCTGCTTTTAATTCTGAAACGTTTCACTTAGTCTATACTTGTTTATAGTTTACGGCGCTAATGACCTTGGCAGTGTGTTTGTCTTCGCAGTGTGTTTGTCTTTGTGGTGAGCCGCAACCATTTATAAAACTAGAATTTGGCCAGTGCCTAGTCATTGCCAACTCGAACGAGCCCTTTGATTTTTTTATATAATGCTCCTGTGCACTAGGCTCATTGTGTTTCTAGGACATGATTAGCTGCTGACTGGCATTTGTTTTTGAACATAATCCAACTGGGGTCAGATGTCGATATAGCTTCAGCAATTTATGCTCGGTAAGACTCCAGAGGTCATCGAAGAGGATGGTTGGATCCCAGTTATTAGAGCAGTACATATTGATTACTATAACCCTGATATACTTTAATTCTTTTCCTTTATCTCTGTCTCCCTCTCCCAGCTTTTCAGTGATGTAGCCTACAAGGCCAGAGATCGGGAGGACCTCATCGCAGGCATAGATGAGTTTTTAGATGAAGTGATTGTGCTTCCACCTGGAGAATGGGATCCCAAAATCCGCATTGAGCCACCGAAGAAAGTCACCTCGGCTGACAAAAGGTTAAAGTTTGTCCCCACTAATGGCATTATGCTCAAAAAGCTGTTGAGACACAATGAATGTGGATACAGTTATTTTGAATCCTCCCCAACATCTGTTTGTTTTGTCAAAGATGTAGAATTACAGCAACACATATTGTTCCCTAACTCAGTGCTTAATATGGGATGAACTTCTGCCTTCATGTCAGCAAGCACCAGGCACAGTTTAAAGGGTGAAAAGCCTATGAAACAACTCCTACAGCACTGTGCTGCAGCCCTTTAATAAGTAAAGAGTCCATTAGCAAAAGCATATAGCTCCACTTTTTGAAAATTTTCAGAAAACTTGTTTTTTTTTTCATTGTTTGCTTGAGCTAATATGTATCAAACTGAAGTTGAGTGGATTTGACTCAGTAGAAATGACATGACAAAAATAGAGCTAATTTCAGTTTGATTAATATTGCCTCAGGTAGACGATGGAAAAGTAGGTTTTCTGAAGGTTTGTCAAGATGGAGTTAGCTGTTTTTGCAAATGAACTCTTCAAGTGTATATGACTAAAGTGACCCGCCTCATATTTACTTATATCCGTGGCGTGTGCATATTTTCTGCAGGAAGTCAGTGTTTTCTTTAAATGAGCTGGGTCAGATGAACGGTACAGCTGGAGGAGCAGGAGGCCTGGCCGAGGACGAGGAGATGCCAGCTCAGCATGAGCTTGGAGAGGAGCTGGCATTCACTGGACGGTACGATGTCAAGGCCACTTGGCAAAACTACTGATAGACTTTGCTCAAATGCTACCAGCCTGGCATATGGAAAGGAAATTTGAATATAAAATAATCCAAATTTGGCAAAGTAGGCAAATTATTTACGTACACATTCAAATCCCCACAAGATGCAGACGCTCTTAATGAGCCCTTTAACTACAGCAACAAAGATTAATCTTCAGTCAAATGGGCAGTGTTGCACTGCCAGTTGCAGCTTTGCCTAAAACAACAAAAGT